TGGCCTGCTGTGTTCATCCAGCTCTACACCTTGTTGTCTCAGAGAACAGCAGCAGCCGCTTTCAGAGAAAGGTAAGCCCCTCCGCTCACTTTTCGTAACCAGCTCGGTCAAAGCGCTGCTACAAAGTTGAAAATGCAGCCCAGAGGTAAACCGTGAGCCAGGCGAATCACATTAAATCCTTCAACAGGGCGGATTTCACATCGGCAGCCCGAAATCACTCGGAAATGAATTTTTAATCCGCAAGCCGGGCGATATTACGTGAAAGGTCCCGTCCCTGGAGAGCTCAGTGCAGAGCCTGCTGGCAGGAGGCGTGGTTCTGGGCTCATCCCTCCTTCCAATCCGAGCTCCTGGAAGCTTTCAGGGGATTATTTTTAAATTATTTAACGTGGCATTTGGCTTCTAGCAAGTTAGCACCAAAAGGATAAATCTACTGCTGCTGCCATGGGCACTCGCCTCCGATCGGTTTATGTTTTGTTGTCGCTAGTTCTTTTGCTGGGTAAGTCAAGGAGATCGCCAGAGTTCACTTTGAAGGTGTAACTGTATGAAAGAAGTTCCAAATCCTCACTGGAACTTTGAAAGGCACCGGTAGGAAAAGTGTTGAGCATTGAACTGAAAGAGATGTTTTGTTAGAGAGTTGATTTAAAGGATAGAAAGCGAAGACAATGTGACTGAATGCGGCCACATGTCCTCCTTCAGGTCAGATGACAAGGTTTACCCGTAGGTCTCGTTAACTCTGCTTTCTGTTCACAGATGGTGCTAGACTTGCTGAGCTTTTCCGGTCTTTCCTGCTTTTTGTTTCTGATTTCCAGCATCCTCAGTTCATTGTCTTTTTCTCATTCGCCTGAAGTTCTGTTCGTTTGAGTTGCCGAGAAACTGACGGGGTCTCGTCAGCCTCTTCCTGAGATGGTACCAGGGCCCGCTCCCACCTTGAATATTCCGGGCAGATTTCTGTTAGATTGTTACTGCGGCAGAAGCGTCCCCTCTGTTTATACAATGGTATAGATTTGTACAGTGGCACAATCGATGGTTGAGCAAAGCTGATTGAAAGTGTTTAAAACCCTGAAGGTTTCACGCTTTCAAAGCCCCCTCAGAACGAAAGACGTTATTATAAAAAAAAAGCTGGGAGCTCCGAAACGTGCCTATCACAAGAAAAACTTGTTTCCTTTACTGGCCGGGCAGCAGAGAGTGAAACGAAAGCTTTTTGTTTTACTTGTTACTCTGGTTAAATCTGAAACTTTAAGTAAATGCTTCGAGTAAACGGGGTTGTTTCCCCCTGCAGCCACCCCAACCTCCATTGAATAGAGAGCGGTAAGCCTGCAAGGATCTGAACTGAGGGCTCTCGATCGCAGGCAGATCTATCTGTAGTGTGAATTTGCAAATAAAGTGCTATGTCTTGCCAAATAATTGGCTTGCCCTATAAATATGCACGAAACAGGCTGTTGGTTATCACATACTGTTGGTGCCAACGTAGTCACATATTTACCGGGCAATGCTAGAGATCTCTCCATGGTTCCAAAAAGCTCATGCATTCGCCTGACTAAACGCTGCGGAGTGCACTTGCAGTGACATTAGTAGCTTAGCGCTCAATCAGTACTACTGTGTAACAGTATGAATTCGTTAAATTAGTGTGTCCCAGTTCCAACGCTCTATCTGGTTTCAGCATCCAAATCTTGTTCAGCAGCTCCAAAATCTGTAATCCTCAGCAATCCCCAGAGATTTCCCTGCTGCTGAATTTGGCAAGAGTGCTCCCAGACCTTTCTGCAAGAAATGTTTGGCCATAACAAAGGAGGATCGGTCTATAACTACTTGCAGAGCTCCAGGCGCGCCTGTTCTTAAACACTGATCAGAATACCACAGGAAAGGGCTTTCAATATTAAAACTGGCATTTGAAGATAGCAATACTTGGACTCATAACTCGGACAATGAGGCGGCCTATTGTCCAGCCACTATGGTGCTCCTTGGAGTGTTAATCTAACATTGTTCTCTTTGAAATAATGTAGCAAAAACATTAATTTTTGTTAAAATTCCTTAGTTACTTTTTTGTTATCAGAACAAACCTGCATAGCAAACTTCCTGCTTTGATCTCTATTTTCTAAAATGGCATTAGTAACTCTCTTTTGTCAATATTTACATTATGAAATGATATATCTATATTTTACATTCAATTTTGCTGTCATCTGTCATGGTGTATCATAGGCTGTCGTCACTAGGTGGCTGTATGGAGTAACATTCTCAGGTCCCCAACACTTACTATCTTGTGTCTTAAATATGTTTCTAATTATTAACTCATTATGGTCAATATCCATAGTTTCCTTGGAGATTGGATTACTTGTAAATGGATTAGAATAGTCAGGTGGTTGTTTCCGACCATCGCAGGCTCTATGCACCTAAGGGCCTTTTTCTGTGCTGTAGAGGTCTATGATTCTACATAATTTTTTCCCCTGATTGTGTGTTATTCCTGTCTCTGGTTAAGATTGTGTGTTATTCCTGTCTCTGGTTAAGATCTCTGCATATAATCACACAGCAGATTTTTGAATGTTAATGGAAAATGTTTGAAAACTGACAACAGTTAATTGTTGTAGAATTTGAAATTATTGGTTGTTTAATAAAAGCAATGGTTCAAAGCTGCAGAGTTGCTATACTGTGAATTGTGTGCTGTGTTAGGGAGATTTTGAGGGTGTGCTTAACAGCGAAGAATTGGCATTAGAGATAATTGTGGAAAGTAGTACAAATTGCACACTGCTCTCTGATTTCCTACATTATTAGAGTCAAATGTGTTGAAAGAAATGAGAGTTCTAAGGGTTGTTTTTGAGGATATTGAAGAATGGAACAGCTGACAGCTAAATCTTCAACTAGGAAGACAATGCTCAATCTAACATGTTGCAATGATAGATTATGTGAAATTTTATATAAATTCAATGAACATACAAGAATATTAACTTTTCTGAGTTTATCATAAAAATGTATTTCATCTTTTTCCATCATTAGGACCTCATATAATACTAAGAAAATACTTCCAACTGTGCACTAAACCTGAGAATCAATGACATGCCAACTGCCTCAGCACTCTCTTCAAGAATGGCATTAAGGTTTCAATAGAATTTCAGGGCATAAGGTTTGTTCGCTGTATAAAAATCAATTAATTCTCAAGCACTGGATTTCAAATTCTTTTCAAAACTGTATATTGATTATACATTGACCTCTATTTATCAATTCTATCACTGTCACTCCGGTTAGGTTGAGTTAATCTGTAGGTCAAATGAATCTATAGCTTTCTTACATTCGGCAAACTTTGTGGTAGTTCTGTTTATTTTATCATGTACAGAGGGATCCCTCAGGTAGTGCTCCTGTCTCAATCTATTTCTCATATTTATCAATGTTACTGGTGATGTTTTCTTGCAAAACATGTTATCCTTTGCAGAAGTATTATTTCAGTGTTATTGGCCCCCTCTTCCTCATCTGGAAACAGTCCCTTGGTGACATCATATGTACACCTGGGATCAATGGTCACATATTTCCTCTACCATTCCTCCATTTCTCTCAACCTCTCTATGGCACTGTTAGCAGGCTGCCTAACATCTAGCATTTGTTAAGCATAATTTGCCACTCACACCAGGAGATCTGCTATCATGTCATGTCATCTTATTGTGCCATCCACAGTTCCACTGTAATTTGTCTGTAATGACTTTGTGAGATCTGTCCTCTAACTAAACTTAGCCGTAAGATTGTCCAACTAATTGGGAAGACTGGTCATTGTTTTCTATTCCCAATAGTAACCTTGCACCCTCGTCACTGATGTCACTTACCTCTGCAGCTCCCTTCTCAGGTTGAATTAGATTGTTTGCAACCTTAGCTATAGCCCAACAATCCCCATCCCAAATTCTGGACCGTCTGGCTGGCCTCTTCACCTGACAGTCAGCTTCAGTCACCTTTGCACCCCCTTCCCCGGGACTCACTGCATAAAGGCCTCTACCTCCTCTCTTTTCTCACTGCCTTAAAGTCTCTCCTTAAAAATCAACCTCTTTGGGATTCTGATTACTCCACCTCCTCCCTCTTCCTTTGGCTCAGCCCCTGTTTCTTCTTGTATCATTGTGAAGTACCTTGGGATTTTTCCTTTATTAAAGGCATTATGTGAATGAAGCTGTCAATGTAACTTGTTGTCACACATAATGTGCAAAACATCTGCTCCATCCCCTTCCTCCACTAAAAAAAATCAAACTGGTTAATGCTCAAGCTGTTATCTGGTGTATATTCTGGGCCAGGTGTGCAGCTTTCATAGTTTCCAGTATACCCCTATCATGCTATTGGAACATGCTAAACCACTTATTAATGCATGATAGTATTAATGCATATAATACAGCTAATAAAAAAGGTTAATACATCATTAAACGTCAGCGTGGCTCAGTGAAGAAAGTTTCCTCCTCAGCTAAAAGATAACGAGTTCAAGTCTTAGTTCAGGGATATCAGGACAACACCGAAAGGGTGCTGCAGTGTTTGAGGGTCAATCTTTTGGAGGAGATATGTAGCCTTGGTTTCCTGCTACCCTTTCAGATAGATTTAAAAGACCCTTGAGCATTATTTGAGGATAAGTGGTGTTCTCCCTTGTTTCCTGGCTAGAATTCATCCCTCAATTAAGGTCACTTAAGCAAATGGTCTGGTCTCTTATTTCATTACTGTTTATGGACCTTGCTGTGAGCAATTTGTTTCTATGTTCCCTCGCATTACAAAAGTGATTACAATTCAAAAATGCTTATTTGACATTGAAATGTTGCGAGAGGTGTTCTATAATTGCATTTTCCTTTTTCTTTCTTTATTTACAGAAATCATTTCTGATTTGACACAAAGTTAACTAATGTGTCCTTCATAACCACTGCTAAAGTCACTAAAAGCAAGAGTGAATTGGACAAGCTCTTGACGAAACAAAAAACACAATAAATCATGTGATTTCTTAATCCAAGGTATTATGAGCATGAAGATAAGGTGAGGAAGCTTTTGGCTTCTGAACAGAGGCATCTAGCAAACAGCTATCACCTTGGTCTGACTGCCAGATGCATTTCTGCAATTAGAATCATCAGTCATTAGCCAAATATGGCCTTGTGGAGGAAATCTGGACTCACCAGGAACAACCAAAGAAGAGCAGTAAATGACAAGGAATTTCATGTAGGTAATCAGTGCCGGCTTCTGAATATAAAAGGAAAAACAAGGCAGATGCTGCATTCAATTTTGAATTTATGAGTTGTTACAATCATCCAGATCATATATCTATTTTAGAGGTAATTTTTAGGTTACTTTAATAAGAGTAATTTAAATGCTGGACTTTAGATGCTGCTGGAACACCTCAAATAATGGCAGTTCAAAGAGATTTATGTGTATTTAATAATTTAGGATGGTGAAAGGCAGACTGCTTTCAGTTAGTTAGGAAACTTTGTGGACAGTAGGTTGGTGGAAAATTGCCCTGACTTTATTAGAAATTTAAATGATCCAGATGGGTCCCAG